GGGTTTGGAGTAAAATGGATGACCGCGTCCATCTTTGCGTGCATGATTGCTACAGATAATGCTCTGATTCACATAGCTGGTGTTGTCCATTTGTGGTTTGACGAGCATGCAGAAGAAGTCTTGCACCTTCCCTGGGTGCCAGACACACCAGACCTGAATATCATAGTCCTCAAATAATGTCTCATTAGCCTTTTTTAAATGTACTTTGTACGCAAAGGTTCATCTCTAGATTCAAAGCCAGAAAAGGGAGCAAAGAAAGAACACTAACATAAAGTTTAAGTGTTGTTGCTGCCTCCCTGACCCTACTACCAATGTGGCAGATACAGCCGAATTAAGCTAAAACAAAATCTTAGGTATTCGGGTAAGATAGAAAAGAACACTCCTCCCGTAATACATTAATAAAGTATGTGTAAAGGCAAAACCTTTTTTTTCTACAGTATACAGTAGGGAAGGTTTTGAACCTCTGATATTTTTTTGCTGTCTGTTTCCCCAGAGGAAATTCATTATTTCCATTTGTATTGATGACCATTGTCACTGGGTCAGAAAGTGATTGGAAATTCAAACTATTAAAGTAGTCACCCGAGCAAGAGGTGAGGGTAAATCATCCAATAGGGACAAATGGTCTGGTTTAACTAAAATGTGAATTCCCCTCATTTTTGGGAGATTTCCTCCTATACCTTTTTCATTTCCAGGACACAAAAGAAAACAAAAAGAGGGTGCACCGGCCTAGTGCATTATCATAAAAAGTATTTATTAAAAGGATAAAAAGTAAGTATCATACTCACAATGGACATATAAGACAAAGGCACATCACACTAAACAGCGGTGTCCAATCCACACTGCATCTAAGTCCAAAAAATGGAACCCTGGACTTCCAACTTGCTAACGTGTTTTGAAGACCTCAGAGGGCTCTGAGGAAGAGGCTGAGTCCTCGAAACGCGTTATACAGTTGGATGTTCAGGGTTCCATTTTTTGGACTTAGACGCAGTGTGGATTGGACACCGCTGTTTAGTGTGATGTGCCTTTGTCTTATATGTCCATTGTGAGCATAATACTTACTTTTTATCCTTTTAATAAATACTTTTTACGATAATGCACTAGGCCGGTGCGCCCTCTTTTTGTTTTCTTTTGTATCCAGTGACTTTGGACTACCCCGGTCCGTTGAGGGCAGCAAGAAGTGCATACTCCAGGACATCAGAATTGTTACCTTAGCCTCTGCTGAGTCCATGCCCAGCGCAGGAGTACAGAGTTTGCGCATTTTCAGGACAGACATTGAAGGGGAAATGTCCCTAGTGGGACATGGACAGCAAAATATAACGTGATAATGACGGGTTTTGACTGTTACTCTATCCAAACCATAAAAAAAGTTTGGTCTGATACACTGCCTGGCTGCCTGCTACTACCGATAAATCAGTGCTATATGATTATTACTGACACATTTGCTAAAGAGAGATTATTTTATTAGTCAACCACTGCAAGTCAAGGTTTTATTTTTTTCTGACACATTCTATGGTTTTGAAAAAGAAAAATACAGGAAGTAAAATTGAATTTTAGTTTTCTTTTGTGATCCAGCTTAATGTAGAGATTGCATGTTCAGAATAATAATAATATGGAGAATTCAATAGTTTAGGAGGGAGGCAGATCTGTCACCAGCCCCTGGAGAACTCTTGACCTGGCACTTGGTGACATTGATGTTGATCTCCTCTACCCTACAGTGGTCCCTACACCTAACAGTAATCAGATCCTGGAATTGTAAGTTTGTTGTCACAAATAACTTATTTGCAGCTGTCTTCAGTAGGCCATGTGTCATGTTTAAGTTGCAAATTACTTATTAGTGAAGGGTGACTTTATGTGCTGGTAGATAATTGGCAGTATCCGTGGAGGTCAGTAGCACTGTCATTAAATGCCAGGCCCCGACCTTTGCTGCTGGCTGGAAGGACTGCTGCCATCACCTGGTGCTACAGTTGAGAGCACCTCAGAGGAGGCACCACTTACCGTTTCATCTGCAACGCTCTTCCCCCTCCCATTCTTACCAGCACAGCTGACCCTTCTTCTCCTCCCCCCACACCTGCACATCAGCCCCCACTTTCACCACTGCATCTGATATTCCACCTCTGATATGTCCCCCTCTGTGTTTGCTGTTATTACCAGTGCACACTTCTGTACTGATTGTTCTGTCCTTCCATATTTAATGCAGTCATATCACTACTGCTGTAAGTTTATGAACTACAGAGTGGGGGATGTGTATTACTGCACTGTCGTTTATAATGGGCACTGCAGAAATAGGGCACATGTGGCCATTATGCCTATTATTGACTGTGAAATAAGTTGTCATCGGACTTTGAATTTGTGAATGAAGGGATCAGCAGCAGCAGATGATTCATGGTGATGGGTTGTAATGGATTGTGGATAATTTTTTTAACCCTTTCACCCCTTCTCTCCTATACATCTCAGCGCCATGATGTCTCTATCCGACCTGCATAATAATGCCCTCACCTCCTTTATCCTTCACATTACCCCTCTCATCTCCATCCTTCTGTACATTCTTGCTTTCACCTCCTCCCTGTATGATAGATATGCTGTATATACTGTATATACTGCTATATATATATATATCTCCGCACATGTGCAGATTGCGCTCCTGCAGAGCGGCGCAGCGGCGTGTACCTCGGACACGGCCGATGACAGATCTGAGTATCGGCCCCGTTGCCGGTACCATGTGACCTGCTGTGACCAATCATGACATGACAGTTGTATACAATGGATGGCTTCATTCATGCCATCCATTGTATACTAGTACCTAGCTGTGAATGGTCACAGCAATCACATGCACATGTCATGTGATTAGCTGTGGCCAAATCACAGCTAAGCACAAAAAAAAAAACAAAAAACAAAAAAAACCCTGAATGAATCGATGTCATTCAGGTAAATGCTTGCTTATAGCAAAGTAATTCTTTGCTATAAGCAAATTGTGTAAAAAAAAAAAAAAAAAAATTACTGATCACTTCCCCAAAGTAGTACAATGTTACTATGGTAACATTGTACTACTTTGGTCATAGTGAAATATGAAAAAAAATCATAAAAAAAAAAAAAAAATGTAATAAAAAAAAATAAAGAAAATAAATAAAAATAAAAAATATATATAATTTTTTTTTTGATACTGTCACCAGTCAGTGTCCCTGATCACTGCCATGCCAGTTATATGATGATGCTGTACTGCACTGGTGACAGTATGTAAAAAAAAAATAGTGAAACTAATTTTTTTAATTTTTTCATTTTCCGAAAAATTATGACAAAAAAAATACAACTTCAAAAAACTCGCCATGCCTCTTATGAAATACGTCGGACTGTCTACTTTGCAAAAAGGGGTCATTTGGAGGATATCTGTACTGTTCTGACATTCTTGGACCTCAAGAAATTAGATTGGCTGTCAGTACTTCAGGACTGATCAATATTCAGATCTATACCATAGTTTGTGAACTCTATAACTTTCCTACAAACTAAAAAATACATCCTAATTTGGGTTATTTTCACCAAAGACATGTAGCAGAATACATCTCGGCCTAAATTTATGAAGAACAATTATTTATTTGCAAACTTTTATAACAGAAACAAAGAAAAACTTTTTTTTTCAAAATTTTTGGTCTTTGTTTTGTTAATTTAGCAAAAAATAAAAACCCCAGTGGTAATAAATACCACCAAAAGAAAGCTCTAGTTGTGTGAAGAAAATGATAAAATTTTAGTTTGGGTACAATGTTGTATGACCGCGCAATTGTCATTCAAAGTGTGAGAGCGCTGAAACCTGAAAACTGGCCTGGGCAGGAAGGTGTAAAATTGCCCGGTATTGAATTGGTTAACATATCTGTTATAATATTATTGTCCTTATACTATGAAAACTAATAAAAAGATTGAACTCAAAACTTGGACCTCTTCTGCTTCTCTGCTGTTTGCATTATCATCATACATAAACTAGCATGCATTTTCCTCAAGTATCATCAAGCATTGTCCAATAGTCCCTACATGCTGCAATAGGATCCACTCTATGGAAAGTTAGGTTAGGTAAGGTGAATTGATGTTTTTCAAGAGCTCTAATGACCCCAGATATCTTTCACAGAAAACATTTTAACCATCTGGTTTTATCTTTTATGTTCATACTTTCTTTGAGTTGCTATATATACCTTTTACTTACATGGCACTTACATGACTACGCAACACTAAAAAAATTCTATTCAAGTATGTATTCTTAACAAGTACTGTACATTTCATTGCTCTCAGTCTCTGACATATCTCCAAATTTTTTTTTTTTTCTGCTGTTATCTGATTTCTTGCTAAAAAGTGGCTAGGTTTGTTCTCCATAAGTTCCACTCTATGTAAGAACATTAGCCACCCTCTATTGCTCTCTTCCGAGATAAACTGTGGACTATGGGATGGTGTGGTGTGCATTTGACTGTAACTAGTGAGCATTGCTTAAACCAAACAAATGGAGGTTTGGGAGCTTGCTGGTGACATTATAAGGAGGCACAAAAACACAGAAATTATCTCATAAAAAATAGATTACTGTGCCATTAAGCAGGGGCGGACTGACAACTCATGGGGCCCCCGGGCAATAGGGGATCATGGGGCCCCTGTGTCCTTGCCCAAACTGAAAAAAGCTTATGAAAGGTACCAGGGGCATCTCATGGGGCCCCCTACTGACCCCGGGCCCTCGGGCAGTGCCCCAGTTTCCAAATGGTCAGTCCGCCCCTACCATTAAGTAATGGATGTGTATGGATTATTGTTTTGAGAGTAAGGGTTTTTTTTGTGTCGGTTTAAGATAAGAACTAGTCTTTACTGATTCTTTTTTCCATCCTTTCTGCAGGTGAAAGTCACCAATGGTAAAAACACACAGCAATCTTTGTACTGCAATAGTCATTTCCTTTTCATCAAAAGCATTGCGTTCCTTTCATCCATATATGTTTTCTCAGTGTTGACTTTGAGCAGAACATGACCATATTTTGTTGATGTGTTTATTATTCCAGGAGAAGAGAAAAGCAGAGGAAGCCCTTACTGACTTGAAGCGACAACATGAATCAGAGGTTGCTGAACTCCAGGTGACAATCAAGAAACTGAAAAAGGTATCCAAAAATCCTTTCTTTTTAAAACGTCTTTGATCAGATTACACAAAATTGATAATTTGTCATCAGTATTTCTAGCAATGCATAAATACCTAGTATACACAATGAGAAAATTATATGACATTTTTCGGAGCAACCATCTGATAATCTGATCATTAGTACACAGCTTTCAAGAGCCAAACGTAACAGTTCATGTGAAAATATCTGAAGGGACAAGCACATCTTTTCCGTAAGATAACAGAACAGATGATTTTCATTTAATCAGTACAGTATCCATAAAAAATCAAGTGACCGACACTGCACATGCTCGGAAATGAAAGAATACATTACCATAGAATACAATACAATACATTACATCATCACGTGAAGTTGTATTACGGGAATTTTTGTAACTCTGGTAACCTATTCATTTTCGATATGAGACCAGCATGCAAAAAACAAAAACAAAACAAAACGATTATTCATCTGATTTTCTCATTGTGTGTACCAGGCTTAAAGGGGAAATTCATTAAAGATTCATAACAGATCTATTGTTGTTTTTCTGATGACATAACGGTTCTGCCTATGTATGAACCTTCTCTAAGAAATTTTACAAGGTTGTGACAGCACATATTGCTAAATGTAATGTTATTATTCTGTAATAGAAGTAATGTAATTTTTTTTTTATTACATTAAATAAATGATTAATAACTATGTATTTAATTTTGCCATTCTATTTTCCTAGCTGGAAGAACAGTCCAAGAGCATAAACTTAAAAGAAGATGTGGCTGCTTTAAAAAAGCGATTGCATGCATTGACCCTGGTAAGGGACATGGACTGATTCATTAACTTTTTACCCAGATAGCTTACAAAGGGTACAGCTATTCCACAATATTTTACAAATGACTTGTTATTTAATGCCCCTACCAAAGTTATGCTGACAATCTATTCTAACCCTTGTCACCAAATGCATGCAAACGGCGGCTAGCTTACAGGGGCGAGGTCCTTGACTAGGGGAAAGAGGGAATGAGGGGTAGCTTATTCTAAGCAAGTAAGATCAGCCATGATACACTTTCACAGTCTGCACTACCTCTGGCCACCACTAGAGGGAGAATCCACTTCAATCCAGCTGGCTGACCACACACAGGCATATATGAATCTTACATACAATCTGGTGCACTCTATGAGTTGGGAAGTAGTCTAGGAATTAGCACATACTTCTAGGATTCCTCCAGCTATCCTATAAGCTAGAATCCTTGTGTTAATCACTCTTCCCACTATCCACCCACCCAAACACCGGGCACACAACAAACAGTAGCTTGCCAGGCAACCACACACACACACACAGAGGACTAAATTGTCCTCTTGTTTCCTATAACCCCTGGAATTTTGTGGTAAAATCTCATCACCAGTGTTTTTGATTATGCTGCCCCCAACCAAGCATGATAAAAAATGCTCACCACCAAAATGTGTATGGAAGACAATGTTTTCTTCAAACATCCACACAGGCACACATAATAACCAAACTTGGTTGTAATGTATACCAGATAACCTGGCCCTGTATCATTCTGTAACTGGCAAAATTGATTGAATTACATTAGATGATATGAGTATCTTGAGGCCTCCTATGCAGCCTACATCCTACAAATAATTCTTCCAGTGGATCTCTGGCCAGCTGTTGTCAGCAGAGCCTACTCCCAAATGACAAACTAAGCAGTCCTCGCTGCTGTAGGTATTCCTATCATTGGTGTGCTATGTTTTGGTTGTCAATGATGTTGGAAACCCCAGATGTGAACTGTTCAAGTGTCAGAGCTTGCCCATACCTGAACAATCATTGTCTGAATGTGAGCCAGTGTGGAATCTTTACCTTTCTAGTAAGTTTGTAAAGTATACTGATTAAACTGTACACTGAAGAATTCCATGCTAATAAGGGTAGAACACACCAACGCCAAACAGAGAGGGCCATAACTTGAGCCCCAGCATTACATTCCAAACTGGTGATTTCTGATTGGTTGGCTTTCTGTAACACATCAGCATGTAAAGCTCATAATATCATTGAAAATAAAATATCATTGTATGCTTCCAATAGGAAAATCAGAAACTCAAGAAAGAACTTCTTGAAGCCCAGACCAGCATCTCTTTCCTTCAGAGTGAACTTGATGCTTTGAAAAGTGACTATGCTGACCAGAGTTTAAATTCTGAAAGGTATTTCACAACTATTGTTACATCCTAAACCAATCTGATAATTAATTTAATACCATATAAGATGAGGCTCTTATTTTTTTTTTTTTTTTTATAGAGATATGGAGATAATCAGAGAATATACAGATGAACGGGAAAACTTAGCACGGCAGATTGAGATTCTTCAGTATGTATATTTTTGTGTACATTTTAAATAAATATACAAGATTTTATAATTTAATATTATCTTGTGCACATAAAAAGCACCTACACAAAACAAATTCTTCTCTTCTTGATTATTAATTGGACTTGGTTGAACTTTTGATTGGAAGTTTAAGTCCCCATTCCCACGGACCTTCTTTATTCATTACTATTATGGGCCACACTAAACTTCATATAGATAACTGTCTTACTTAGCCCTGCTTAAGGTGTATGCAAATCCTAAAAATTAACTTCTCATGTTTGCTACCTTTTAGTCTGGTAAATATAATGTCCAAAGTGTTTTGTTATATCTGTTTGAGAAGTAAAAAAAAAATCTATTGATCCTGCCAGAAATCAAGTAGGCTGATAACTTCCTGTGCTTTTTGCCCCTGCTGACTGATATCAGTTAGCATTGTTCTTAGTTTCCTCTCTATGAAGTACAGAACACCTCCCCTATGTTATGGGTTTAAGGAGAAGTTTTCTGTGGTCTAACACACTTTCAGTCCTAAGGAGACAATGCTGCTTCTGCATAGGTACACTACAGTGAGTGGATGTTGTCTCCCTGGAAGTAGTAGGACATATTCACATGGATGTAAAGCCCCTTACAGTGTGCACCCATCTCTGTGTACCTGTCAAACGGGGCTGTACAGGTGATTCCGTACAGCCGCCAAGTCTCCATTCACTTATATAGGCTGCTTACACACAGCTAGCTCCCTGCTAGTCCAAAAAGATAAATAAATGGCTGTACACTGTATAGGCCTGTGTACCCATGTGAAGACCTTACTGGCAATATCACCAGATGGAAATAAAGGAAAAAAAGCCAGCAAAAAGAAAAAGAATGCAGCGAGCACATATAAGGACTAGTATGCTGTAACATTATATATTTAGTTCCTGGTTTTATATACACTCTATTCATTGCAGTTCTTATGATAAAACATCCATATAAGGGGCAGGCGACAAAAATGGCGGTCAGGGAAAAATTAAAAATGAGTGGTACAGCAGTCCTTACTTTATCATTTGCCTGAGCCTTTTTATCTGAAATGATCAATATAATGAATTCACTTAATGTGCAATGTCTTTATAAATTAAAGTAATAAAAGATAAGTGATTTTCTTCCAATGACATTGTATTATGCTATACCTTACTCCCAAGTTCTCTTACAGCAACCTTGTTTTCCTCCCTGTGAAGGGCAAATTTAAACCACTAAATCTGAATGTTAAATGTCTTGGTCCCTTAAGAGCTATGTCCTTTCTATTTCCTGTTTTATAGCACAGAACTGCTGTTGTCCCAGAATACTCATCTATAGGTGTGTGATATGCATAGGTTTGTTTTGTCATTTGTCTCATTAGTAAGGGGCAACGTGCTTGTTAAGTGTGGAAATGTTTTACCCATACATTTATCCCAAAAACTTATTCAGTAAAAGCATAACAAACCTATTTGCAAATTGTATTGAATTTTCCATCAAAGCAATATGCACTTTGTTAGAGTGCCTGTTCGAATTTTCACTTTCCATTGTTCATTATACAGTATGTGCACATTTCAAAAGACAGGATAAAAAGAGAGGTTCAGAAAACAGGGAAATATTTTTTTTTAGTCTTAGAGCTCTGCATGGAAGATAGTATTGTATTCATTTGTTACTAGATTGTTTTAGTTTTACTTATTGAACCTGAATAAGAAAAAATTAATTGTTGACCCCCACCTCCCCACACTTCAGTGATGGGAAGGGGAAAAATAATCTACATATATAAACAATATGCCAAGCCTATGGGTCAGTTACTGTTTTTTATTCTTGTAATAGTTATTCAGATACTTTCTATCTTTACCATATTCATAAGCAGCAAGGGGTGGGACCTGAATGTTCAGAAGATATTTTGTTTCTAAATATATTAGAGATCTCTGAAATTGACTGGTCATACAGCAGTATATTTATTGCATGTCATATTACGGTGATTGAACTGTATATTATTATTATACAGGATTTGTATAGTGCCAACAGTCTGCTCAGCGCTTTACAATATAACGGGAGACAATACAGCAACAATACAGTTCAATACAAGAGGGATTTGAGGGCCCTGCTCCTTGGAGCTTACAATCTAGGAGATGGAAACCTGCCCTTGTAAATTGGTGGTTAAACTTTTTTGTATGGCCTCAAAAACTTAAAAAAAAAGTAATTTCTGTTATACAATAGTTTTCAGTAATGTTTAGCACAAATCCATTAATAATGACAAAAATATCATTTCAGTGACCTGGTTGTACAGTCACTTTTGGTCTGATTCTTGTTATTACTCGGTAACTTTAGTTTAAAACTTTCTGTTGAATCCCCTGTAAGACTTTGGCTGACATTACATTTTTCGATTACAGAACAGCTAATAGAAAGCTGCATGACAGTAATGATGGACTGCGGAGTGTGCTGGAGAACAGTTTGATCAAGTACAACAGATCACTGGTACGTAGATGTTCCAGACACTAGGTGCTGCTCCTCTAGTGCCAGTAATGATATGCTCCCTGCAAGGACAAAAGCGGTGATGAGTTTGTCTCAGGGCAGCCACATCTTCATCAGACTTTCATCATTTTCTCCAAGGATTCAGGAAAATCACAACTATATGGAACAGTCTTTACAGTGTAAATATTTGCATTCAGTGGTCCATAGATATACTAAAACAGTAAATTTTTAAGTTTGTTTTTTTGTAACAATGTACAGGCTGGTTTTAAAATCTAGCAACAATATGTCTTTGAGCTAATTTAAACTAAAATAAAATATTCACTAAATAAATAGTATTAAAGCACAAATATATATTGAGGATGATCTTGGACTAGCTGAAATGAATCCAGTACATATATAACTAAATCACAGACTCCTGAATTAAAGTGGAACTAAAAAGATTTACTATGTTATAGGTCTCATTTAGAAATTTTAAAGCTGTTGTAAAGTTAAACTTTTTTTTACTATAATAAAAAAGATGACATACTCACCTGCTCTGTTGAAGGGTATTGCAGAGAAGGGTTCCTTTACTCCTGGGGACCCCTGGCAGTGCTGTCTGCTTCACCTCTTCTCCTTGTGCCCCCATAACAAGCCATGTGCTAAGGGGGAACATGTGTGGGTGCACTCTGCAGCCAGACCTGGGTTGAGACACACACAGTGTGGCTAGGCGTCCCCCGCTCGCTCCCTCCTCACAGGATTTGATTGCTCCTGCTGCTCTCAGCCAAGCTTGAGAACCTGAGAGAGATGGGAGAAGGAGGAGAAGGCCTGTAGACAGATCAGCATTGGATCGATGGAGAAGTCAGATAGGTAGATTTTGTACCTTAAAGTAGAAATAAAGCCATAGCTTTTTATGCCCTACTTCTCCTATGGATTACAGGAGTGCAGTTCTTTCTGCACTCCTGTGACCTGTTTTGTCAAACAGGCGATTCAGGTTCAGGAAAGATCCCAGACTTTATAGTTGGATCCATCCAGATTCCTGACCAGCAGCTGGCTCAGCCTCTCAGCAAGCCACTGAGAGCCTGAGCCAGGCCCTCCCACCTTCTTCACGGCTTGGTCTCCAGTGAGCAATGGAGGGGCAGACCAGAGAACTGGTGACTGATAGTCACCACTCTCTGGTCAGAGCGCTCAGTTTTCAGTGGAGATCCAGCAGGGGACAGATGCAGCATTGGACTGATGCTACATAAACCTAGGTGAGTATAATTTTTTTTTTAACCCAATCCTGTACTTCTCTTTTAATGCATAGCATTTGTTAGGTTAAAAAAAAACTTTTGGCTTTAGAACAAATTTAATTGTGCTATGCAGTAGCCTGAAAAACTATCATTTTAAATTCCTCATGAAAAAATAGTAGTGCACTTTCTGCTATGTGAGGGTACCTAGGCACTCCTGTGCCTAAAACTTTATAGCTGTAAATCTGCTGTGTGAGATCTAAGGCAATGCTTGTGAGATATAATATATTGCTAGTTCCAGCAGATTTGGTGTTGTCACTATTGTGCTGCTTAAAGAAGAGAAAACAAAAGCCTTAACCTCTACCAAGATGGCCTTCTGCACACAGAGACCGTGCAGAATAAAGGATAGCTAATAATAGGGAAAAGATCAGCTGCGGAGAGACCACAGGTAATTCCGTTGACTAGTCCTTTGCCCTCTGTTTGCCTTTTTAAGGATACAGTTTCCAGAGTTCAATTCCCATTTAAATATTTTGCAGTAGTTTTTGACTGTTGTATTTCACATACCGGTAGTATTTGACCTAAAATACCTTGAAGAGGAACAGAGATAATAAGTATAGTGTACAAAGAGAAGGAAAAATGTTTCTCTCAGTAACCTCACACAACCTTCCTTCTAACTTGTCAGACTAGAATCTCTCACATTTGTCTCACATTCCCTACACCGAAGATTATGCAATTGAAGATTGCAGGTATTTTGTTCAAGGGTCCCAGGTCTGCTCAAAATATGCCTGTAAACTGTGTCTTTTAGAATGTTTGCCATTTCCCAAGATGACCGAGATGAGGGACATAATCCATGTTCAATATAATTTAGCTTTAGTTCATTTCCATGGTCTGACAATGGAAATCTTGACTGCAAAGAAGATATGGAATATTAATTTCTAAAGATTTTGTGCGATTCTAGAGATGGGTTAATTTCTTAGAACATTATAAGGATTTCACATTATGAGGATGATCTAATTAGTCACTGGTTGTATAAAGGAGTATGTGCTCTTCCAATGCCTTTTAATTTTGGGGCATGGCCACCAAGTATGGAACACCATTACTTGTTTTTCACAAGATTGGAAAATGGAGAAAGCCCAGGAAAATATGGTTGATAACCTGGATTTATCGTATGATTAGAACTCCTCTTTTTAATGGTTGTACATGTGCACACATTAATAAGCATGCATATTATTCACAATTACATCTAAGAACATCACCAGTTACCAACCACCAGTTATCCTTAGTCCAGGATCACAGTAAAGGTGTTAGGAGCTAAAATTATTGACTCCCTTATGGGGATTGCTGTCATTTTTACAGAGATAATCTGAAAAAAAACAGTGTTGCAAAAAATTAGTCATCACAAAAATCCATCTCTCTCTATCCCTTACTCCTAAAAAACAGAAAAAGATAGACTGGTACATTGTGGCCAAGAATATTTTAGTAATAATAGAATGTAAAAAATCAGCTATAGTTGACATGTAGGTGCAATTGCTACCATTACCATGAATGAGAAGTACAAGTAACTGTAGTATACATGTAATTGTAAAGAATGTGGAATGGAGGGTTAGCAAGGAGGTTACAGCTGCTTCTAAGCAATGGTTCTAGATGGGGCTTGGGCTGCCAACATTCAACAACTGACATTCATTTATGAGCATCAGGAGTCTTTCCACAAACTGGAACATAATTGGATAACATTTTCTTTGTTTTCAGCGTGCAAACACTTCGCCCGGAAGTACCATTTCCAGGAACAGTCCCAAGTTAAACAGATGTAATTCTCCATATGACCGGTATAGTAAATTGCTTACGTCATGTTCAATGATGGAGAGGAGAGTGAATGTGTGTGTCTTTACATCATGTTAAATGATGGAAAGGAGTCTACATGCTATACGTCTTTTCCTGGGCAAACCATTAAGCTTTAAAGTGACATCTCATGTCAATTTAATTTAGAAGATATACCTGTCAAAGCAAAATCTTTATAGTGTATGCAAGCAGAAATGTATGTATTGAAATGTCTTGGAGGAGAACTGATGTTGCTGTCAATATTAATCAATGAACTTTTACCATTGAAACATGAAAGATAAAAATGGATTGCTTGCTATGGGCTGTAGAGACTGCTCATACATAAGCCTCTTTGATTTTTCTGTAAAATGGTGCTCTGTATTTAGATGTGCTCTTGTCTATTGCTACATAATTACTGTAGTTAAAAATTCTTGGTGCTGGCATTAGCTCTGTAAAAAGCAGATGCTCTCCTCAATTTAGATATCATTTGAATGTTTGGGCAGCTTATGTACTGGAGGTGTTACATACAGAGATATCCCAGCTCTGCCTGTGCTCAGGTTCCTTTATTTCTCTACAGAGAAGACTGAAAGATCCAAACAACCGTGTGTGGCACTAACAGGACCATAGCTGGCATCTGTCAAGTTAGCATAAAATTAAATAGAAAAAGCAGCTCTGATACTGATGAAACAGCAGCCAGAAAGGACACAAATAAAATCAAGCTTTGTTTCATGGGTAGTGATCAAGGGTAGGTAGCTGAGCGTTCATTGTAAACCACAGAAAAATATTTCAATTCGGTTTTTAGACATTTATGTATTATAATATGTGCAAAAATAATGTGGGTGTTGCATGTAACTTAAATCTAATGATATTCTGAAGTGATTTTCACTAATGCCATATTATATAACTTTTGGCCTTTAGGTCTCCATCCTACTTAGATGAGGACTATGATTCTTTAGCAGTGTGTGATCCTATGCAGAGGATGAACTGTGAGGTTGACAGCCTTCCTGAGAGCTGTATAGACAGTGGTTTATCCACTCTCAGAGACTCCAATGAGTATGACTCTGAAGTCGAGTACAGGGCACCAAGGAACTTCTACAGGTCAAGGTTTCCACTTGAGAGTTATGGTGGGGATGCTTCAGATACAGATGTAAGTATCACAATACTATTTCCAACTTGGCTTGCCATACATTGGCAACACAGGCTTGGATTTGTAGTTTCACAAAGATTGAAAATTAATGTCTAGTGGTGTTTGAATGTATTGGAAGGAAAAGGTTGGGGGATACACAGATATACAGTACATATACATTAAACTTTGGTGAGGGGGACTTAGAAAAAAACATGTTTTTACTTTTTTCCACCTTAGTAGTTCAATTGGACTTTTTTTTCTTTAATTGCATGCAGAGCATTATTAGACACTTTTCTGCTGGGCCCTAAATTCTTGACTAGGTTGCCTTTGGGGAGAAATTAACCCTTAACAATCAATCTGATCCTAATAGGTAATTCCACCCCCCCTCCACCTTAACATATAAACAAACCTTTAAATGTAATTCCCTAACCTTCAACTTTAAACCTAACACCTTTATCCACCAAAAATGAAAGCATCACTTGAATTGTCAGCCAGTAATTATATTATTGAAGCAATGTCTTAGTGCATGTGCTGATCTGTAACAGTCTAGGGATCCTGTGTAGCAGCCCTTAAATAATGAACCTTTAACGTCTATGTTCTAAATTTAAATGCCCTAGGATACCATATAATTGACTCCTGGCTCTGACAGAATGCAAGTCTGATTTCTCTTTTTGCTCTTTTGTACTGTTAATAATATTTTCCTGAAAGGCTATCAGTAAAATGGAAACCAGGGAGAGAAACATCAACCACAGTTTTCTGGGCTAACGTGAATACTCTGAATACCTTTAAGCTCATTGACTATATCTGATGGCAATTAAAAGAATTGTTAGAGTAAGCTGTAATAACATTTTATGAATTTGTTTTTAAGATGTTACCAAGTTTTCAGCCAACATCCAAACAAAACCCAATTATGTCAGCTGTAACTAGGTGCATCACTGTTTACATAGTAGTTGCAGCAAAATAATTGTTATATGTTTTTTTTTCTTTGGATGTAGGTCCCAGAAATCCGAGATGAAGAGTCATATGCCCCAGAATCTGCTGGATCATTTCTTGACTGGAAACCCTCACGACCTGTCAGTAGAAGCAGTTCAGGAGCATCATCAAGAAAGTGCATCTCAGCTCTACCTGCACATGCAACTCGAGTAAGTAGAATTTAGTTTTAACTTTATACAGGTGTGAAGATAAAGGTTGTTAATATATCATATAATGTTAAGTCAAATAGGTCTCACTCTCAGGTTTGAGATAGTTATGTCTGACAACACTGCCATATTAAGTCTTGTTAAAGAGAAACTGAACTCATGAGCCATTGTTTCTACAACCCAACAAGCCAACAGTCTGTCTCCAATCCTGTACAGATTAGTTTCTATAGAAAACTGTATGTGTATTCGAAAAAAGTGTAAAAGGCTTTAGTAAACCACAAGTTATGTTATGGAACATATTAGATTTGGCTTTACCCAAGTTTTGTTCAGTTTCATTCTGCTCTATCTTTTATACTTGTTTGGAAAGTTTATATTAAGATGTCAGCTTTTGGTTGTAGTATTTTATATGTGATGTTTCTTACTAGTCTTACTAAACTCATTTACAGTAACCTTTACAACGAAAACTATATTTGGATGCCCTTTAATGCTACTCATATGTCAACAAGTACAGTGGCTATGGGACCTCTGTTTTTAAATCCATTGGGCCCACTGTGATATATTTGTCACTGAACCAAAAAACATACAAAGGGGAGGTGTGTTCTTTAATTCCTCCTATAGAAAATCAACAGAGCTGAGCCTGTTGCACCCCCTCCCCACCTAATTCTGTCTGATTTATTCTATTTTTTTGGTATTTGGTTATATTAGAAAATAATTCTGACATAATAAAAAGGTAATTTTTTTAGGTAGATGCAGAGGACCGACTAAGCAAGTTTCCAAGCACAGAGAAAGCATACAAGATAGTCCTTGCTGGAGACGCTGCTGTTGGAAAGTCTAGTTTTCTCATGAGACTTTGTAAAAATGAATTTCGAGGCAACACAAGTGCTACTTTGGGTATGTCAAAACCTTGATGTATTTCCATTGTTATATTAAAACTAAAGAACATTGAGAGATATTTCAAGGCTATGATCTGTAGAGTATCAAAAAGGTGATGGTGGCATTATGGATTACTGTAGTTAACATCCAACTATTTTCAAGCTGGATTGTTTATAAACTGGTGGTTGGATGTTATACTTTGAATAAAACCTGTTTTTCATTTATCCCTTTCATTTGCTGTAGTTATTTTTAGTTCCTTCCTAAATGTTAAAATATTTGTTATCTGCAGCCTTCACATGGTTTATCCTTTATCTATCAGAGCTCATAAATATTCATGTTTTACATTTATAAATCTTTTTAGATTTACAACAGTCTACCTGGCTCTTCCGATATTTTACTGACTATATTATATAATATCTTAAGTTAATTATTTTAGAACTGTTATGATTTAAGGGAAACTATTATAAATTGTACTATTGTTGTATAAGTAGAAATTAACCACAGCTATTTTTGTATTGGAAAAAGGAGTGGATTTTCAAATGAAGACCCTCATAGTAGATGGAGAGCCAACATTATTGCAGCTTTGGGATACAGCAGGTCAGGAAAGGTATGCAATCTGACCTTTTGTCCTTTGTGATCATACTTGAATCATTATAATAGATACTGTATACAGAATGTCTAAACAGTATGACCTAAAGTCAGAAACCGACAAATCCACCCCCTTACTATACCTGACCATACTCAGCATAGATGTTAGCAAAGATCATGCCATACATATGATGAAATGATTTCACTTGTAGTAGTCATCTAATGTGCATACCCAAAAGTAAGTTAGGAAATATGTGTTAGCTCAGTGATGTGCCAGGGAAATCCAACAGTAGTTTTTATAAAAACAATTTTCTATCAATGAATAAAAGGAAATACTTAAGAATGAACGAAGGGAAGTACAAAGTTAACTGATGTGTTTATATTTTGTGTTCTAGATTTAGGAGCATTGCAAAGTCTTATTTTAGAAGGGCTGACGGAGTTCTCCTTTTGTACGATGTGACTTGTGAGAAGAGCTTTTTGAATGTGAGGGAATGGATAGATATGATTGAGGTAATCTAAAGAAGCGTACATTTATAGTAAGAGCTATGAAAAAAAAAGTTTTACGTTTGGTATGTTACACTTTAAAAAACATTGTCGTATATATGTAGAGTCTTCTCAGCTCTGTACTGAGAAGACTTTACTGTCTAATAGCATGCCTGCATTTTTAAGTCATGTCCCTTTCTATGTCCTGCAATTCACTATTTCTTTATCATTTATTGAGGGTCACAGGAATGTTGAAATTCTTAAGCTTATGTTTTATATGCTGCTACCTCCAGGAGCTTTGGACACTATCAGACAGGAAAAGAAATCCCTCATGTCACCCCACCCCTAACTGTAATTTATTTTGTTAGTGTCCTAGGAGGTTGGACACCTGTTTTCTCTTCTCTAATGAGAAAATGCCTAACTATATTTTACTCACTTCTATTTTTTTTCAATTCAGTCAAAATACCCAATGTGGATGCTTCATTTATTCACATTAACAGAGAAGCTACTAGTAGAGTAAAAGATATACTTACTTTGGGGACTTAACCAATACATAGTTAAATTTGACCAGTTTGAAGCAATCATAGAAAAAAAAGCATGGGGTCCCCATCCACGTCGATGCATTTTGCAGGTCTTACCCACTTCCTCAGCAGGATTTCAGGAAATGTACAATCTAAGTAATCATAGAGAAAATAAATAAATAAATACTTATGTGCAGCATTTATACATTATTTAAACACCATAGCTGTTTGCTGTGTAACCATTTTACTCACTGGATTCAAGTCTTCTGTCACTAAAATTCCACTAAAAAGTGTGGGCTGTACCAACAAAGCCACTGGGGGACAAGCACAGGGACACCCCACAGGAGCAGCTAGGGGAAGAAATAAAAACGGGGGTTAGGAGGTAAACACCATAAGCACCAACTAACTGAATTATCAATGAATGTTAAAAAGACCTATATGATAGGAGTTTGTTGACAGGTATAGACAGAGGCCACAAAAAGTATGATACCAATGAAAATATATTTCTTCAATCATGCATTAAGAGAACAGGAAGATACACAATGTTACGTCAACTGAGCTGTCACAAATAACATGTTTCCATTTACTTTAAAATAGAGAATGAAAAGAATTAAGGGGATTAAATTCACACCTAAACATGCATCCCAGCTTCCACAGACTTACAACACACTCCCACTTCTACATACATACACATGCAATATTCACATGTGCATCCATCTTGATATGTACCCTCTCATCCTTACCCAGACAATAACCACATGCGTCACACCACATGCACATACACCAGTTTACCATCCGTAGACATGCATTTGCATGCATACGCATATACAGGGATGTATTTTCTGCAAGGCAAACAAGGTGTTTGCCTAGGGCGGCATTTTTTTCATGGGGCAGCACCGCCAACTGGAAGAAAGGACACACGTGAAGATGGAGACATGTTGGGCTTGGTGTGTCAGTGCGGTGAGCCTTCCCAGTGTACCAGCCGCCGCCCAAGAGAAGGACATCCAGAGTACAGTCCTGCAGGCATGGCACGGCTGCTGGAGCAGTGTGAAGTCTGCAGGTGAGGTGAGGATGGGGAGAAGCTAAACACAGAGATTAGGCTGGAAATGTATGATGATCACTGTCATACTGTATTGTTGGTGTTCCTATCAGCCAGGAGCTTAGTTAGAAGTGCTGGGAACCATCAGGATCAGTCTGGGGGAATCAATGTGTATGAGGGGGTGTGTGTGTAAATCATTGTATATAGAGGGAGGGGGGGGAATCCATGTATATGGGGGGGTAGGCTGTGGGGGAAATCCGCGTAAATGGGGGCAGGATGTTGGGGAGAAATCAGTGTATATGGGGGCAGTCTGTTGGGAGGGGGATCAGTGTATATGGGGGGTAGTCTGTGTTGGGGTGGGAATCAATGTATATGGGGGTAGTCTGTGTTTGGGGGATCAGTGTATATGGGGGTAGTCTGTGTTTGGGGGATCAATGTATATGTGGGCAGTCTGTGGGAGGATTAGTGTATATGGGGGCAGTCTGTTGAGGGGGGGTCAGGGTATATGGGGACAGTCTGTGAGGAGGGATTAGTGTATATGGGGGCAGTCAGTGGGGGGATCAGTGTATATGGGGGAAGTTTGTGGGGGGGGGGGAATCAGTGTATATGGGGGCAGTCTGTTGGGGGTGGGCAATCAGTGTATGTGGGGGCAATCTGTTGGGGGGGCAATCAGTGTATATAGAGGCAGTCTATGGGGGGCAATCAGTGTATATGGAGGCAGTCTGTAAGGGGGGATCAGTGTATATGGGGGCAGTCTCTGTGAGAATTGATTAGTGTATATGGGGGGTAGTCTGTGGGGGGATCAGTGTATATGGGGGCAGTCTGTGGGGGGATCAGTGTATATGAGGTCAGTCTGTGGGGGGATCAGTGTATATGGGGGAAGTCTGTGGGGGGTGATCAGTGTATATGGGGGCAGTCTGGGGGGGGGGGGGGTCAGTGTATATGGGGGCAGTCTGTTGGGGGGAAATCAGTGTATATGGAGGCAGTCTATGGCAGGGGGGGAATCAGTGTATATGGAGGCAGTCAGGGGCGGACTGACCATTTGAAAACTCGGGCACTTCCCAAGGGCCCAGGGTCAGTAGGGGGCCCCATGAAATGCCCCTGATACTTTTTTATAGGCTTTTTTGGGTGTGCTTTGAGTGTGGGCAAGGACACAGGGGCCCCATGATCCCCTATTGCCCGGGGGCCCCATGAGTTGTCAGTCCACCCCTGGAGGCAGTCTGTAAGTGGGGGATCAGTGTATATGGGGACAGTCTCTGTGGGGGGGGGAGGGAGATCACTCTGGGGGGTTCAGTGTGTGAGTCGGAGGGAATTTACATCCCACCAAACCCTGCATACACCCATTAACTCCCTGCAGAGACCTGGCATCACCCAACACGCCCCATTACACCCATCACACGCCAACATACCCTGCCAGCACATCTCATAGATCTCACCCTACTATACTTTGCATATACCAATCATATAAACCCTCCTGCACCGCTCACCACCCATCACACTCCACAGTTCCTGCTTACACCCATCACACAGCTATGGCTCCCCCATAACACACTGTATACACCCCTTCTTCATTGTTACCACCCTTTGCACCCTAGTTGCTACTGTCAACATGCCCTCTCTCTCTCACTGGGGAAGATGGGGGGGGGGGGGGGGCGCACAGTTTTTGTGTTGCCTAAGGTAACACAAAACCTAAATACACCACTGCGCATGTACACCCGTCCATTCCCATACACGCATACACTTATGCATACACCAAATTCTAATATCCACAGTCTGCCTTCCACGCCCACATCCCACACATACCACCTATCAAACAAACCTCATTTTACCAGATTGGCAATCCATATATTATTTGCAGTCCTCACATTCCACATCATTCTAACTGCTCCTCTGGTTATCCCACAACCGCACCACCAAATATTTCTGCATTATACTGTGGATCTGCCCATGTTGCTCAACAAATTTGGTGATTAGATTTACTGTGTTTTGTTTATGATGCCATTTAGAAGTGCATGGTAAAGATTTCATGGGTGTGTTTTTTTGTTTTTATTTTTTTTTTGTTAACATTTTTGTCTATGCTTATTCCAAGCATGTTTGAAGCTATTTACTGTTGACTGGCTCGCTACCTCTGCTGGACGTTTATTCCAAGCATCAACTACTCTTTCAGTAAAATTAGAGATTTTATCTATTTGTCTAATTTGAGATTAGTTTTGAACTTTCCTCCACTTAGTTTAAGTTCATGTCCCTGTGTTCTTGATTTGGGTTTCGGGTTTCAAATTCTGCCCTCCTGAATCTTATTCACCCCTTGATGTATTTAAAGGTTTTAATCACATCTCCCCTTTCCCTTCTTTCCTCCAGACTGTACATGTTAAGTTCTCCCAAAGTCACTCTTGATATGTTTTATCCCCCAGACCTTTCACCATTTTTGTTACCCGTCTCTGGACTCGTTCTGTCTTATTAATATCTTTTTGTAAGTGAGGTTTCCAGAACTGGACACAGTATTCTAAATGAGGTCTAACTAAAGATTTATAGAGGGGAATCAGGACCTACGTCCTCCTGCTGGTGACCCCTCAAGTGATGCATCCTAGAATTCTATTTACTTTTCCCACTGTCTGGCCACACCGTTTGCTCATTTTGCAATCATCTGAAAAAGTAAGCCTTTGCCTCTGAAGTGTTGGCCAACACTGTAGCCCCAATGTTGTACTCTCTCAAGGGATTCTTTTTCCCTATGTTTACATTTAGGAACATTAAACTGCAATTTTCACTTTTTTAACCAATCTTTCAGCAAGGCCAAATCAAATCACCAAATTTTTCAGGATTGATTTGCTATATCTACTCCTCAATAATCTTGTGGGAGTAGCTTTGCCTGGTATCTGAACTCATCATCTTCTTTACAATTACGGCATAATTGGATGTACTGTCCATATGGGATGCTATAGACCAGTAGCTTCAGGTGTGAACTATGTGCACGTAGAATCATATCGCCGGCGTTCGACTTTATATATATATGGTTGTAGCCAAAGAACAAAGGTATACCGCTCAGGCAAACAATCCAGATCAATCCACGATAGGTGCAGGCTCTGTCTCGTCACTACACATGATGCAACAGGAAGAAGGATTAGCCGCATACTGGAGGATTGATGAATATAGTGTATATTGATCCATAGGACACACAAAACACCAGGACATGAATACAGGACCTGGTAACGCGTTTCATATGATCTTGTGCTTAATCCTCTTCCTGTTGCATCATGTATGGTTGTAGCCATGAAGCCATCCTCCTAGACATATATTTCTGCATCTAAGAATTATATTTTACCTGTGTCACAGTGCATGGTAAATTTAAGGTTGAATGTGTTACTGTCCAAAGCATGCATAAACTCTTGCAGATCTTGTGATGTCCGTGTCGGCACAGCAAAGACATCATCTATGTACCTGTGTCAACATAAAATATGGCACAGGTGCAGAGACGAGGCCTTGCATCAAAAAATATATCTTTCCCACCCTCCCAAGTACAAGGTCACATAGGAGGGCATGAAACAGATGCCCATAGCAATACCTTTCACCTGGAGGTGGTGGGTGTTCAGAAATCCCAAATAATTCCTAGTAAGGATAAAATGTTATAACTGTATCAAAAATCTGTTGAATAGCCAAGTTGAAATTTTTTGTTGTGTTCTTGCAAGGATATTTACACTACTGAAATGCCTTGTTCATGTGGAATTTTTGAGTATTTTATCTATATCTATGGGTACCAATAGGCTGCGGGTGGAAACATAAATGCCCTCTAACATTTTTAATAACAGATCAAGTTGTGTCTTTTACATAAGAGGGTAACTTTCTGACATGGGGGAAGTCAAGAAAAAAAACAACAAATTACCAACCTCTTTTTGATAGTGATTCAATCCCAGATACAATAGGGTGGCCTGGTGGTTGATCTATACTTTTGAGAGTTTTTGTTAGAGAAGTTGTTGATTGTGCAGATTATTGAGGTAATCATAGGTATCATTATCAATGAGGGCCCCTGAGTAGGCCTCTTGGAGAATATTTTTATATTAACTGGTAAGTTTTTTCTCAGATAGTGGGGAAATAGGTCTATACATTTTTTTGTTTTTCAAGATCTTTAAACACATTGTATCATATTGCTCATTAGTCATCAAGACTGTGTTACCACCTTTATTTGATGGTTTGGTAACTACATCCTTCACGGCACAGGGCATCACTTTGTTCCCTCGTTAGGTTGTCCTCTCTTTTTCTTTAGCTAGTTTTTTTTATCTCTTTAATTGTTTGTGTTAGGCATACCACCAAACATTTTGGTTTAAGTGAAGGTAGGGTAATGCCCTAGACTTGGGCTTAAATTTTCAGATGAGAGTGGCATCATGGCACCCCAGTGATTCCTGGGATGTAGTGGTGTCCGCTCACTCCTCTTCTTGAGCATTCTCTTCAAGTAATTGCAAAAGATTTAGTAACACTCTGAAATCTGATATTGTAAAGTCTTTCCAATAATCATTAATTTTTTTATCTGCATGAGCTCAACGACGTTCATCATCGAACATAAATTTGAAAGTATGTTTTTTTGTGTGAACATGTATAGGTCTTTTATAAGTTCAGATTTGTCTATGGGTTTAGTTGGACAAAAATGTAGGCCTGGCCTCAAAATCATTTCTTCTGCTGTTGTCAGAGCATCGGGTATGAGGCTAATGATAACTTGTATTGGGCTGTGACTCCTGAATTACATAACAGTCTCTGCTCCCCACCTTCCGATTTTCTCCTAGAAATACCTATCCAGAATTTGTGCTCATGATTTTTGGAATTGTTCCTGCGTTTGATACAATGCCTCTGTTTTGCTCATTATTTGACTCATGGTAGCTGAGGTGGATAATCCATCCATTCGCTGTGCATCATTATCTCCTTCTTGTACAGTGTGCTGCATGAGTGTAAGTGCCTGTGTATGACATCACCCACCACTGGGTGATTGTGGTCTATGTTTTGTAGCATTAGTGTCTATATACCCACATCATTTAGCGCCCTCTTACATGATTTCCACCTTTCATTATCATATTGAAATTTGCTTATTTCATGATTTTTCTGTGAAAATGAAGAAGAAAGTGGGGAGTCAGATTCTGTACTCTTTTTTTCTGTTTGCATACTATTTTTTTATACACGTCCCTTGCCCATTCATGTGCATTGAATATTTTGCCATCTATAGACATACCCTTGGTTGAAAGCCAGTTTGTCTTCCCCAGATATACTCTGCTCGCAATAATTTCTTTATGGATTTTTTCCAAAAAATCATTCAGTTCTACCCTCCTATCATATAATGTTGGTAGGTCATATAAACCTCCGTATTGCATATATAACTGCATGATTTCTATATTACTAGACATGTGTGGTTTGTTTCAATCCAGATTGAAATTCAGTTGAAATTTTCCTTATTCGGAAATTCAAATGTATCTGAAACTAAATTTGTAACTTAACGAAACAATACAAAATGAAATGAAACATAACAAATGTATTTCATTGTACACGTCTATATATCACACAATTTGGTATCCTTAAGATGTTGTATCAGCAGTTCCATCAATCCCTTACTGCATTTTATCAATATATTCTCCCATATCTTAAAATCTGGAGATGTTTCTAATGTTTGGGAACACCTGTACACATAGTCCAATATGATTACATTTTTCTTTTACACAATATATTTTGAGAAAAATTTAGTATGTCAATACAAATGACATTTTTGCTTTAACGCCCTTTTCAATCTCATTTTTATTTTGAGTTCATCCTCTTCCTTAGACGTGCCATTACATGTGGATTGTACATTAAGTATCAGCTCTGTCCATGCAGCACTGCTCAGACCTTAGGTCCAGAAGCCAAAGGTCAAGAAACAAACTTTTGTCATAAAGATGCCCCCCAACTTCTACAAGTGAGCGGACTGTTCGTACAAACAGGTGGTTCTCAGGAGATTGGGCCCCCTGGACTTTGGATGCTCATGATACCTCTATGGTACTCCACACTCTCTTTCCTGATATTCAGCCTAGAGGAAGCAAAATCCCACTGCTCCTGAAGCACAAAGTGAACCTCTTATCTCTGGTTCAATTCCACTGCTATAGAGACTCAATCACCTCTGTCCACCTGAAGCTGTCATTAGCGCCAGCTGCCCAGGTTTGTGAGTACTTGATGTTTTGCCTCAGATTGGACCTAGTTGCATGATGATAAGAATGTTAATCTTAATGCACGGTTCCCTTTAGAGTCACCACTTTGTCTTCATGTGCTCTACATCCTGTAGTCCCCATTCGGGATATAGAGATTTGTGCACTTAGGTGTGCTCTTGCATGGAAGGAAGAGACCACCAGTGGAGGGTTTGGTGTTCCTAGTATTGTCAGCAGGCAACTCATGCTGCAACCCTGTTGAGGACACTACCCGTGGGAGATAGCTGGAGATTGTGGCACCTTATGCATTCTAATTATTTATAGTAAGACCCTCCAACTATGGCTGATTCGCAGCCTCTAGGGGTTGAAATATGAAAATATCTTTCATGCACCTGTCTTTAATCAAGTATCATTCTAATCTCAGCTCTCTTGTTAAAGCTCTTCCTCCTTGCTCAATGGCTATGAATGCTTTGCTGGGCTGGGACAGGTCAGAGGACTTATAGTCCCAAGTCAGGTAGACAGGCCCTGCAGTGGGCTTTTTTCTGTCAGTTACATCAAAGGGCGTCCTTGTGAACAAGTCTGCTCATTGTACTGTATCCTGGTGTTGCTACAGCTTTCTTCCTTCTCCAATCTATTTTGGTGGTGGGGGTTGTCTCCAACTTCTAAGGTCCTTGATATTTCCTTGGAGTATTCTGCTGGTAATTCACTGTTTTGATTATCTCATATGAGATTGCATGGTCTTTGTCATTGTTACTCTTTCTTGGAGCCTTTCTTCCCCTAATGCCCAGTGTAAGGCTTGAAACATTTGTTTTCTCTAGTCTGTCTGGTCTCCCTTTGTGAACCTTTTATCTAGTTAATCCTTAGGGATCTCTTGAGGCTGGAAAACCTCCCAGGATTTCCCTTGTTGACAAGTTTATGTTGTTGGTATGTTCTTTCAATTTTGCATACTTATATGCTCCACCTTTTTTAGGTTGATTTTGCTTATAGTTTCTGCTGAGTACAGATTCAATATTCTTCAAGGAAGTTACTCCCTTTAGCAGTGATTCTTGTGTTGGTTGTAGGTCGATCCCCTGTTACAAACTTTGGGTCACTATCAGTTCCTCATTGTTGTAGGAAACCTCTTCTGGTTTAGATTTTGGTTTTGGTTCTTTTGGTTGTTGCAGGCGGCTCCTGGTTCTATCTTAGATCTGTTGCTGGTTGTTACCCACCCCTCAGTTTGATGGCTTTTGGACATCACAAATGTCTAAATGACAAACGTTCTACATTCCTGTGTCCCTCAATGGACAATAAAGGTCCATTCCTCCTGAAACTGAAGCAAGTTAGGGACAGAGTTACAGGGGGGATGGATTTAAAATTTTTTATCCTGTGTGCCAGTGTCCAAATCTCTTATGCAGCAGCATATAACCGGAATGTGTAAGAATTTTTACATTCTAGTGTCCATCAATTGACTTCAAAAAAAGATTTTACAGTAGGTACAGAAGTCATATTTTTTCATCCACCTCACTTCCTCTCAAACACAGCCAATGTTTAGCCCGTTAAAATAGCCAGCATTCACTCAAGAATCATTTATCTCCAGTTTTAATCTACTGAAAATCCGACCACCTTAATCTACAGATAAATTAACATGATAAACTTCCTTTAGTGCCTGCCTCTGACAGCCATTTTCACTTGTAGTTGTATACTATAAATGTCCTAGTTCGATAACCCCATAATCTTTGGCAATTTTCCTCAGTAACATATTGCTATTTTGTAAAGTATAGAAAGTTTCACAGTGTTAGACATAGATTACATATCTCATGAACTATTTGTAATATATAGAGTTAGCATGCAAAATACCTTGCATTATCTCCCAACATACAATATTTGAAGATAATATGCATTTTATAAAGCATCTGGTGCACAGTATACAATACAATAATTATAAACATTCAGGATTTTCTAAAGTTTGCCAGAAAGAAGCAATTCATGTACAGTATTTGCTGTCACGATTGACTTGTTATTTGCATTTGTTTTGCAGGATGCAACAAATGACAGCATACCTATTATAATGGTAGGGAATAAAGCTGATCTCCGACAGGCACTGTCTGAACAAGGGCATAAATGTGTACCAACCAGTTACGGAGAAAAATTATCCATGGTAAGCCCCTAATGTAACATAAATGCAAAGGTAGGGTAGTTTTGCCAGTAACTGAGATGAGACGTGACCTATAGAAATATTATGACTGTGGATGTAGTTTATTTCAGTGGTATTTCCTTAACAAGAAATCTATCATAGACAGATGAATTTGAAAAGGACAGAGCAAGCTCTAGACTAGAAGTGACACCTAGGTGCCAATAAAATTCCCCCATCTTTGTAGATAGAGAGATGTCACCTACCTAAAGTATCAAAGGGAAGATCTAGCCAATTTCTATTCTACTGTCCCAGCAGGGGACAAAGCCTTTTCACTCTAGAGCAGTGGTAGGCAACCTTAAATAGGTGGAGATCTACTTTAACAACATGGGAGAAGTCAAAGATCACTAGGCACAGTGTCACCTCCTCACATCTCATTTAAAACCTTTAAGTGCCATACTACCATTTCTCAATCACCTGCATTGCACGGCAATCATGGGTTTATGTTAGGTTGTGAGGAGGCCTCATTCACTTGAATGGTTCATGCTTGGCAGGTGCTACACCCACCAACCATGATAGGGCATATAACTCCTGCTGTGGCTGCAACATGTGTACACCCCTGGTCATTGCAGCTCAAGGAGGTGCTGTTGGGGCATATCTGCCAGACAGAGATCTGTATGTGTGTATGGTTGCCTAGCAGATCCATCAGTGGACAAACTGTGGTGTGGGGGTGTGCATGGGCAATGGGAAGAGTGATTCCCACAATGGTTCTAGCTTGTAGGATAGCTTGAGGAATCCTAGAAGTGTTTGTTAATTGCTAGACCGCTCCCTAACTCTTAGAGTCAATCAGATTGCATGTACTGTAAGATTTGTATCTGCCTGTGTGTGGACAGCCAGCTATACTAGAGTGGAGTCTTCCCCAAGTGTATCATTACAGTCTTAATTGCTTAATGTGATCTCCCCCTCATTCTCTCCTACCCCAGTGAAGGACCTTGCCTTGGTTAGCTAGCTGCTGTGGGCTTGTGTCCTTGACAGATTAGTTAAACATATAAAATAATTAAGTTGAGAAGTATGAATACCTGTATGAAAAGAGTACTTAAGCAGATGTTTAGGAGGCATTTCTATTTACTGTGATCTGCAAGGTTAGCATTTGCAGAGGAAAATTATCATGGATTCTGAACAGTCTGAATGGTACTAAAGCCATGGCTGCCCAATCAATTTAAATATGTGTGGTCACTGCCCACTGACACAATCATAATCCTAAAGTATTCCATTAGTGATGCAAAAAATTGTGACGTTTAGTGAAATATAGCACAGTCTTTATTACACACTTATTTTTCTAATTTATCAGTCGATATTGAACCATTGGATTTCAAATAGTAAGTTTGATTCCTTTGCAGGGCTGCCAACCAGATCATCTTGTTATAATATGCTACTAAATGTCAGCCACATGGAGAATAATTTGATTTACTTTACACCAGGTTTTCAGTTATGTACAGTGTTCATTTATCCCTATTATTTAGCAGTATAAGAGATTAGGCAGAATGGGGTACATAACTATCATGTGGCCCTGGATAATGTGTCAAGTATAGCAATAGGAGACAATTATACTGTAAGTATTAAATCACTAAAGCATATATCCTAACATCAAGCATTAAAGGGCTGCCATGGATCTGATGCGGTTCTTTCTTTTCTAAGCTCCATTTTCTTTGGTGCCCAATATCAACAGACTTATTTAGTAACACTTTGTAAATTCTTAAAGTAAACCTCTCACAAACAAGGATATTCTATACTAAGCAAATTGTGAAAAATACATAAGCAGAGGATACTTTCAGTGGAAAACCATGCATAACTGAAGCACTGATCTGGAGATATAGGAATCTAATGTTGTACTGTATACAATTCTTGACATTCCATATCATTCCTTCATAACCAATTGGGAGGGCCAAGCTTAGTATACGTCTATAGGAAGATGGACACAGATGACTTTCATCGCAGGTGAAGTTTAATTGTTTAGATTTGCCATAGCTTTAATTTAAACACTTAACACTTACCATGCTCCAGCATACAGGTGTAAAACAGTTTAAAGCTGAGCTCCACTCAAAAGGGGAAGTTCCACTTTAAGGACTGGTCCCCTGGTCCCCGTTAAGGATTAGCACCTTTGGGGAGCGGGTACCTGAAATTGATGATTGGAATAGGAAATTGTCCTCCTTCCCTATAGTCTTCTGAGACAGGTCCCAGAAGACTACGGAAGCATTTAGGAAGCGCAGCGCTACTCACGCATGCAAAGTGGGCACCCAACTGTGAAGCCACAAGCTGTCACAGATGGGTGCCCACAATGAAGATGCCAGCGCCGGGAACACAGGACAGCTGGTGAAACAGGCTGTGGAGAGGACACCGCAGGATTGAGGGACAGGTGAGTGGCTGTTTTTAAAAGTCAGCAGCTACAGCTTGTGTAGCTGCTGAATTTTATTATTTTTGTACAGTTTGACTGGAACTCCACTTTACATTTTATGGGTACATGATGCAGTTATCTGCTTTTGTAATTGAATAACTATATCTGCTAGTCACTGTGCTGCCCTAACAATGGCTTAAGCAGATTTTTTTCTTTTTTTTGCCATACAGACCTATGGTGCTTTATTCTGTGAAACTAGTGCCAAAGAGGGGTCAAACATCGTAGAGGCTGTACTTCATCTTGCACGGTAGGTCTTCTTATGTATACATATAAAAAATGCTTATAGCAGTTCCACTAGTAATCAACTCAAAATTTCCATCTGATGAGAGAGAGATTGGGCATACAAATTGGTATATCAATAGCAGGAGGGTCGCAAGTATGTTAATTTCCAATATACTGATACCATCCCACAAGTCCTTCGGCATCAAGTCAGTGTTTGTTTAATGAAAAAGTGGTCTACACCTTATGGAGCTACAGCCCAGTATTAGGCACTGAAGTCCTATGCAGCAATATTGAGTGGGATTTTGTGTACAATTTACCTGCTCCAAAGTTGTTCAAACCTTGTCCTGGTGAAATGTTAATGCTCGTTACCAGATCACTGTTAAAACAGGCAAATAATAGTTGTTTTAAATTAAAAACACCAATCTGCCTCCATATTATTATAAAGTAATTCAATGGGACCCGACTATGGTAAATAAAAAATTAAAATGCAGGCATTGTCTTATGTTTTAGCACTGCATAGATGTGGAAAACCCATTGAGATCATAGGATGGAGTACATTTTCCACAATACCAATAGCTTTTTAATGATTAATAGAGAGGATATTTGTTACAACAGTGATTCTGAAGTTAACGCAGCTCACCCGTTGACTGGGTTGGATAATCCCTGCTTCTGGTGAAGAAAATAGACAAATTACCTGTCCCAAACATGGACAAGTAAGGCACTCATAACCAAAAAAATCCAGGCCCACTAAGAAGTGGAAAAATATTTTTATATAAGGAGGATGCTTTACAGGGAGTTAAAATGTTTTCTTAGGAATGATCAAAGTAATGTGGATGTGCATATAGGCTGTACCTGCTTTCTAGTTGTCCTCTTTTTTTTCTGGTGATGTCAACATGCATGCCTGGTGTGCTGTTTTTTCTTAAAATAACAAACATGTTATACTTACCTGCTCGATGCAATAGCATTGCACAGAGTGGCTGCTTATCTCTTTTTATGGGGGTCCCTTTGGGGATATCTGCTCTGCCTCATCTATGAGTTCCCCCTCAGCAAGCTATGTCCTGAGGGGGCCCTTGTGCATGCACACTTCTGAGCCAGGCTGCATGTGTCCCTAGAGACAGAGGACGGGGAGGGCAAATAGTGGGACATTTTTTACCTTAAGGCAGGGAGTGCATTAAGGTAAAATTGTCTTGTCTTTAGAACCACTCTTTTATTTAAAAAAAAAAAAAAAAAAAAAAAAAAAGGTAAATAATGATCAGGGGTCATCTAAAAGTTTTTTTTTCATCAATTGAAGGACACAGGAATTCAGTTGATGCTGTCTGAGTATACTACCACCTGCAGAAGGATTGGCAAACAAAAAAGGCCATCCCTACATAACACCTCTACCTAACTTACCCTATTTTTTTGTCAGTGTCCTAGGAGGATGGACATCTTTTTTTCAGCTCTGCTTTGAAATTTTAACCAATTTTTGCTAGCCTTTTTTCTTTCATTTCTTTGTTTGATTTATTATTGTGTTGACTTAAATAAAGATTAATCATTACTATGCTGCCTGAGCTGGTCTCTATATGGCAGTTATCTAGATCAACGTTTCTTTAGCCCGCCATGTGTTGTTATCTAGACATAGAGTGGACAGTCCCACTGCCAGAGTTGATCCAAGGTCATACTCTCTTAATAGTTCTGAGGACATTTACTCTCTACCTTCTGAGGGCACTGATATCTGGAATCCATTGACCCTATGGATATAGGGTCTACCTCAGCATAGGCTCTTAGCTCTATCAAGTGAGGCCCCTCATCTGTCATCAGGGCCTCTATTGCAGTCACACAAGACTTTTTGACAAGACTTTTTGACAAATTTCACCCATTTCCTTGCAAATACTAATTACAGAGGCTTAGAGCTCTCTCCTGCACCTTCCCTTGCATAATTAATCAATCTCCAACCTTCTTGAGGCCTTAGAAAAGGCCAGGCCACCAGTTTCAGTAACCATATCTGACTCAGACTCACACTCAGTCCCTACAGACCATCTCTGATGGCGCCACAGTCTCCTGGTTGTTCTTGCCCTTTTTGATGCATTACATACTGTACGGCATTTGGAGGATCAGCCTGTTGTCTCCAGCCTTCGATCTCTCAAAGCCCCTACAGACTTTTCCAGTACACCCAATATTCGAGATATACCTCTCTGTGGACTGGAAGCACCCTGATGGGCCCTGGTTTTTGCTTGGAATTGTGTTCGAACTGCAAGCAAATTTGTTAAACAGTGAGTTCTACCCACTGTAGATTAGCCAGTGACCCCCCCACTAAACCTGTAGAGTGTGTGCTTAGCTTTAAGGATTTCACTAACTAGCAGCTTGAATCCCATCATAAATCCCAGTTTTTTTGTTCTGACAGGTTCTGCCCTCTGTCCTTTGTTGGCAGTGACCCTAATCTGTCAGGCCATGGTAGAATGTCTTAGATGCCACAAAAAATGTATCTCCTCAGCTGGTGTAGACCCCTTTGTAATATAGCACGTGGAACAGATGTCTGGAGCCCTAAGCTTCAGCTGTGACTGGCTTATTAGAGGTGCCTAAACTTGTGTCCCAATGTCGAGCTTAGCATTCTAACTAAGGGTCTAGGACACTGATGCCATATCCAAAGAGCACATGATTCGCTTGGCCTTTGAAGGGCCTGTCCACCTGGGATTGGATCCTCTTTCCTTGTTTTTTTCCACAATTCCTTGAGGAAAGTCTTTCAGGCCCTGACCTTTGTTTTGCCTTCAGTCAGGCAGTGTTCTTCACTGCACTGATAAGATTAATGTTCCTTACTCCATGGATGCAAACAATTCCATTGATCTGGAGAAGAGGGAGAGTGGGTCTGGAGCATTTCCACACCTATGGATTGAGACCAGCTATAGGCAGGATTGTTCTTCAGCAGGCACTGCTTGCATACCAGAGATGTATTCTCTGGTGCTCCAGAGAAGAGCTTTATCCTTAGGTCTGTCTTGTTGTTCCCAAACTACCCACCTGGGGTTACTGTCTGCCTCCAATTTCCTGCCTACCATTGTGGGGTGCTTTCCCTGCATCCTTCCTTTTTGGTTAAGCTGACCAATTCAGTTATGCAGTGATCAAATGCCTGAGTTTTTGGCTGGCTTATGAGTCACTACACACCCTTTGTAGGCTGTTGTGTTTTTGCTGCTCCAGACTCTTTCCTGATAAGTCTCACTTGGCGAGGTTAGTTGTTCAGGCAGACACAATATAAATACAGAACCCTCGTCCCTTGATATATCAGCTAGGGGGCTCAGCCTCATCAAGTGTCTAAGTCAGGCATTGCTTCTTCATACGGCCCTTGGGCTGCAGGCTGTTTCTACTTTTGTTTTGTTGGCCCTGTTACCATCCCCTCTGATGGACTGCTTTAGGTGTCCTACAGTACCCTATTTTCTGTGTTCCTCAAATAATGAGAAGGAAAAATATAAGTTTTGTACTCACCGTAAAATCCTGAATTCATTGAGGGACATAGGTCCTTTCACTCTTTGTTTATGTTCATGCTGTTGGTATGGTTTGCTTCAGACAGAGGCAATGCCAGGTAAAGAAAGGGCTATCCTGGGCTGGACTACAATTTTTTTTTTGGTTTGCCAATGTCAAATCCCCTTTAGGTGGTATTATAATCCTACAGTATCTCAATTCTTTTGTCCCTCAATGGTCTTCAAGAAATTGTTTTTACTGTGAATACAGAATTCCTATATTATTATTTTAACTTAAATATTTCAAAACACTTACTCAGACCTTCTATAACTGTGAAATAATTTCAAGGTTTACATTTCAATAAAGGCACAAAAAATTGAATATTTTATGAGTATGTGTTTTCTAGGTTTACCTATGTCATTAAAACTTTTTCTACGAACTTTCATTGCTTAGGGAAGTGAGAAAAAGATGTGACAATGAAGATGACAGAGGATCTGTAACTAATCTTTCCGGGGCCATCACCAAAAAACCAACACAAATGAAAAATTGCTGTAATGTTTAATAAGCTGACACACAGACCAGCCAGAATGTATTTTTAATAAGTTGTATTTCCAATTAATATGAAGGAATTGTACATAGGCGTTGCTTTTGTGGCATATGTTTTTTCTTCTTTAAATTATATTGGAGTTCATGTATAAAACCAGGAGGAAAGAAAAGAGTTGAGTTTATCATGGAAAGCATTAAGATTTTAATGTGTTCTGTTAATAACCTGTTTGGTTACTCAGGGTAAAATGGATATTTATCTTTCCTACCAGTGTTATTCATCAGCTCTGTTGTTGTAAGCTCTTGCTTTGTGCATTGTTATTTATCATGAAACACATATGTAAATTAAAAAATTAAGCATTTGTATATCAGTCAGAACTATAATAAGCCTGCTTTGCTTCTGTTTTAGTACATTTTGAATGTAACCCCCAACTGTGAAAACTAATAGCTTTCTAAGAGAGTAGACACCCAAATTGTCCACTTTCTGTGTGCCAATGGCTAGGCCTGCTGATTGCTTACACAGGTAACAATTAGCCCCCATTCACACTTGCGCATGTTTTCTGCTCATTTCCCTACACCTGATTTTGTCTTACTATGCTGACTGCATAGAATTTGATTCTTTCTAATTGTCCCTGATAACACTTATACACTCAATTGCTTTACGTGCTACATTTAAAAAAAAATACATGAGATTTTATTATATTGTATTCAAGCATTTTTGATGCTGCAGACTTCAATGGGATCACCTGTATGTCTTACTATGCCTGACTACATTGTCCCTGTTAACATTTGTACACTCAGTTGCTTTATTCACAACTCTAAATAAAAATACATTTCAGGAATTTTTGATCCCATAGACTTCAATAGGCTCTATGGGCTCGATATGCACGTTTTCATTTGTATTTATACACCTGAAGAACTGCTCTACTCTTATAGAACTGCTCTCCTCCATTTGCTCAACCCAGGAAACAAACCCCTGTAGCTTCATACACATGCAAAAACAGCTGTAATATTTCGGTAAAATGGCTAAAAAATGCTTCAAAATAACCAGGAATGCATTTGCTTAGGTGTGAATGTAGGCTTATTGCACTGTGGGATGTGGACAGAGGGAATGTTTATTATCCCATATAAAGAGGCAAATAGCACTTTGAGGAATGGGCTTTTTCAGGATGAATGATAAAATTAAAGCTTATGCTGGTTGCTCTTGGTAAAGCTATCTGTTTACATGGTTGGGTTCACCATAAGTCTGTTTTCAGCCCTTTGTAAATATCTCTGTATCTGTGTCTCAATTATGCAACTGCTCCTATACATAATTTATTAAAAATGTTTATTCACAACCTATTTGCCTAATGTATTTTTTTAACAACCAGGATGATAGTTTATTGAACAATGGCATAGTACAATAACAGCAACAACCAAGCAGTACAAAGCAATACAGTGAGACAACAATATCTAAAGACAGAGAGCAAAAAAATACAAAATTGTCAACACCCGGCTGCGGCTATCCCTTTCACTCTCCCGTGAGCTTGCATTGTTGGGAATACAAGATGATGAAGAGGCCTCGCCACACCAAATTGCTTATTTCCTATTTATTATATTATGCCAAGAAGGAGATACATTTCATCATCGGACCCCCCCCCCCCCACACACACACACACACACTTGTTCAGTGGCCTAGTGGGAGGTGTCCATTAATGCAGTGTTATCAATTATTTTGTAAAGTCAGTGCAATCGATCAGCCATTGAGGAGCAGGGCTCACAGCAAGGTCAGTGGCTATGCAACCAGTGAACAAGCAAAGCATCAACAAAATACCATATTCATTGTTCCGTCCAGGGTTTCCAAACCATATCGAACTTCCCAGCAGGACAGCCTCTATTAATGTATGTCAACTTTTACATAGATAGCACTGCTTTAATGGATGCCTCCCACTAGGCCACTGAATGTGTGTGTGTGTGTGTGTGTGTGTGGGGGGGGGGTTTCCGATGATGAAGTATCTCCTTCTTGGCATAATATAATAGATAGGAAATAAGCAATTTGGTGTGGCGAGGCCTCTGTTCATCATCTTGTATTCCCAACAATGCAAGCTCGGGGGAGAGTGAAAGGGATAGCCACAGCCGGGTGTTGACACAGGTAAACACTTCCGTCCAAAAATGCTCCATTTTAGGACAGATCCAAAACATATGAAAGTAGGTGCCTTCCCCGGAATGACAGCATGGACAGCCGGCGGACCTCTCTAGATATATTCTGTGCAGTATCTGAGGAATGTAGTATACCCTATGCAAAAATTTAGTCTGCAGCAATTTATCCCAAGAGGAAATAACCAATTTAGAACTATCCTCAAAAACATCCCTCCCACGTTTCCCATTCCAAGGTTGGAATGTCCTCCTGCCATTTCGCCCATAACCTATCCATCTTGGGGAAGTCCACAATGAGAAGAGTCAAATAAAGAGAGGACAAAGGTTTAGAAAAGGACTCCTGTGCAAGAAGGTCCTCTATTGGGTCAGTCTTCAGTCTAAGGGGGGTTGGAAATTCTGCCTGTGCAGCATGGCGCAACTGGTAATATCTAAAGTACATCCACCCAGGTAATTTGTGTTTGCAGGAGAGATCTCTAAATGAGAACAAAGTACCCATAGGCATGATGTCCTTAATCAGTCTGATACCATAACATGCCCACACTTGGGGGTCAGGTAACTATCAGAAAGGGAGGCGTAGGCCCTAGTGCCTCTATATACAAGATTATTCAGTTCTGCAAGGGAACCCAGTATAACCCCTTCAAGACAAACCACACCATTGGCCCGAGAATGTGTGAACCACCATCTTACAGTGATTAGGACAGCTGACCAATAATAGATCAGAAAATTGGGTAGCACCAAGCCTCCACATCGCACCAGCAACTGGAGGGTGGACCTAGCCAAACGGGGGGGAAGGAGCCCACACAATGGTCATTCTCCCCAAAAGAAAGTACCAGGTATCCAAATGCGAAAAACATAATTGAATTTGGGGAGGTAGATCATTTTAAGAATATTTATGCGGCCCAACAGGTTAACTGGCAAGGCAAGCTGCAACAGCAAGGGGTGGAGGTTAAACCTATAAAAGCTGTGTAAATCTCGAGTGACTCATATGCCTAAATATTTGAACTCATCAGCCCACAGCAACGAAGTAGAGGTCGCGGAATCCCTACCTTGGGGATCGAGAGGAAAAAGGACCGACTTGGACCAGTTGATACGAATCCCAAATAATTGTCCAAATTCATCAATGACCTCGAGTGCAGCTCGCAGAGAAGAATTTGCATCATGTAAATATAGTAAAGTGTCATAAGCATAGAGCGAAGTTTTCTCCTCCAGCGAACCAATCCGCAGGCTCTCAATAGATTGGGAGTTCCGCACCTGCTCCAATGCTAGAGCAAAAAGAGTCGACGAGAGGGGGCACCCCTGCCGAGTCCCTCTGCTCAAAGGGAAAAAGTCAGACAAATGGTCATTGGTTCTGAACCTAGCATCAGGAGCATTATAGAGCATACCCAATCACTTCAAAATGCCCAAACCCAAATCTACGCAGTACCTCCCAAAGGAACACCCATTCAACATAGTCAAAAGCCTTTTTAGCATCTGTGGAGGCTATAACTTGAGTGCCACCATTAGCATGATTGGCAGCCAAGTTAAGAAAGAGGCAGCGAATATTAATATCTGTGCCATTCCCCCGGCATAAAACCCATTTGGTCAACGTGGATAAGATCATCCATCACTGTGAAGAGTTTAGCATCAACATTGATCAAAGAGATCGGCAGATAGAAGCACAATCTTCAGGATCCTTGCCAGGTTTGGGCACCAACACTGTAAGGGCTCAGAAATTGAGTCCGGGAGAGATCCCACAGAGGTAAACTGATCAAGGAGGGAAGTGAGCCTGGGTGCCAACAGCTCCTGATAAAGGGAGTAAATTTCGATGGGTATCCCATCAATACCAGGGGCCTTTCCATATTTCATACACAACCACCTGTACCTCCTCAAAACAAATATCATGGTCCAGTCTGTCCCTCGCCTCTGGGTCAAGGGCAGGAAACTCAATGTGACCAAGATAGGCACAGAGGTCCGTTGAGCCAGAAGCAGCTCTGGAAGAATAGAGTAGGCTATATTATTGTAAAAATCTAGCATTTATAGTCAGGGGTTGTCAATAAAGCTCTATTCAGTCCTTTAATCCTACCAATATGCGTAACAGCAAACTGTCCCCAGCCAGCCAAACCAAAAGTCTATCATTCTTGTCCCCATATTCGAACATCCTCTGCACTGTGGAAAGTAGAGACTTTTTAGTCAAGTCAACTCTGAGTAATGATATCTTCCTAAGGGTTTTGTTGCAAAGCTACATAGTGGTCACGGTCAGGATGAGCAATATTGTCTGCCTCTCTTTGCCGTGTCTCGACCTCCAGCTGCTCCAGAGACTGCGCAGAAGATCTCTTCACATTAGCTATGCGAGAAGTATACTCCCCCTAAGCCATGTCTTAAATGTGTCCCATACTATCAGAGGACTAGCAGAGTCCTCATTATGCAACCAAAAGTCACAAAGGGAATCAGGGATAGATTCCTGAACAGATGGGTCCATAAGCTGCAGGGAAATCATGACCAGTGCATGGTCAGAAATGCCCCTGGCCAGGATCTCAGCCAAGATCTGCCGCAGTACAGAGGAGGAGGCAAACACCAGGTCTATATGAGACAGAGATCGATTAGTGGCAGAATGACACGTATATTCATGATCAGAAGGATGAAAATTCTGCCACACATCAATCAATGCAAAAGAGGAGGCCCATTGGGAAAGGCCCTGGGTCCAGGCAGTGGAGGCTGGGAGCCTATCAAGATCCCGGGAGGGCACCAAGTTAAAGTACCCAGCAAGCCACACATTAACTTCACCGTATTGAGCCACCAATTGCATAAGTGTATACAGAAGAGTCACATCAGCAGGTGGAGGCAAGTAGAGTCCCACTATCACAAATTCAACATCCAGTACTAGAGCATGTAAAAGCACATATC